GTGCCCATCTTATCGAAAAAGAATTGTAGATTAATACAGAAAAAGGAAGAAATATACTCGATGCCATGTTCTACTTCTCCTTTTGAATAGTAAATACGAGTAACGATAAATGATATAATTTTAGTAGCGTTTTATCTCTTTAACCTCAGCGTATTATATATGTATATATGTATATACATATTTGTTCTTTTTGTATGTATATTTTTTCGATTACCCTCTTCTTCCAAGCTTTTCAGCGATGGATTATATGGAACTGTAAAATTTTCAACACCTTTAATGCCTATTTAATTTCACTTTATTATCCAATATATTCCGTATTGATAAATATTTATTGTCCTGTTCTTCTTTATTTTTGTCTAATTTAGATAAATATCTGTCGAAAGACGAAAATGTTCTCAGTTGTACGCGCCATGTGAAAGTGTTACGCAAAAAACAGTATTATTTTTAAATATTTTTTTTTATTATTATTTAAATAAAAACATTTTAATTAAAAAAAACTATCATACAAAGTAGTTGCTCTAATTTCCCAGAAAAATAATGATATCAAAAAATTACGCCAACGCATTATATAATTACAATTACAAATATAGTTATTGGAAATTATGCTCTATACTTGCGAATTGGCTGGGCTCTATTTTATTATTTTGGATTTTGGTCTTTTGAATTTTCAACCCATCTTTTTCTTATTAAAAAATCAATATTTTTAAAGTTATTAAATAATTATTTTTTTATTAAAAAATCAATATTTAAATCAAGTTATTGAATTATTTTGCAAAATTTCTTTCTCCAAATGCTGCAGAAATTGATTTGATGCAAAAATTTACTTTTCAATACAAAGCTGTATTAATTACGCAAAATAATTTTCTTTTACAACTTTCCCAATATTTATAATTTGTAATTACAAATTCTTTTTTAGCAAAAATATGTATTTTACGGAATCACGTTATAACAGTTATTAAGAAACTGTTATAACGTAGTAAATATGAGACAATAGATTTCCACATTGTGCTGTACTATTGTTGACACGTTTTCTCCAATAGACTTATTCCACTATCAATCGTCCTTACGTAGTAATTACATTTACATGATATATTTTATCAAAAAGCAGTGGTGATTTACGCTGTGAATAGACAGGGGGTGCGTTCCATTTGAACGCTTACACGCTTAAAGCGCTTATAAGCATTGCTTATGCTGTTCCCTTTGGAGTTGTAAGCGCTTATAAAAGCATTTATGACATCATTGTGACGTCATAACTCGTGCTCACAAACGCTTATTTCATCGAGGTAGGGCAGTAAAAGCGTAAGCGCTTATAGCACGTGAGCGTTAAAACGGAACGCACCTGTGCGTAAATTAGCAAAATGGACGTCCCGAAGATGTTAGTTAATATTCAAGACGCTGATAATAACAAAATTTATAAAATACTAGTAACGGCAGAAGAAGCCAAACTTTTACAAACTGGTAAATTTATCATATTAATATTTATATTATTCATACATGTAATAAAGTGAAATGAGGTTATGTAGACTTTTCTTTTTCTATTTTCCCGTTAATTAATAATATTCATGTAATTTTCATATTACTCCAATAACAATTATTACTTTGTCCTTTATAGATTATATCTTTGCGAATCAAAAATTATCAGAGGCAGCAAATAAAAGTTGTAAGTTCATTATTAAAAAATTTCTGCCAAGTAATGGTTTTTATTATAGAGATATTTATATTTTAATAAATTGCTTTATAACTATAAATGACTTAATTAAAAAAAGATAGAGATGTAATTAATTTCTATAATTGTAAAAATAATTTTTATGTAGATGACAATGACTTATGCGATTCAAACAAATGTGGCCAAACCAATGAATGTGTCGAAAATGAAAATGAATTATCGCAAGGAGTCCAAGATGAAGACATTGGAGATATTTTTAATTATGTATTATCAAATTTTAATTATATGTATACGTATATACATATATGTATCACTAGGTTTTTATACGCTAATTTATAAAATGTATGAAAAAAATTATAACTTTATAAATTTACACACCATCGCTATTACGAAATATTAATTACAATTCGTCAATTTTATATCATTATGTCAACATACCTTATTCTTAGCTTTTTGACAATTCCAGTAAGTACTAGAGTCGGATAAACGGTAGTGAATTTAATCAAGGATTTACCTTTGCTATATGTACGTAATTCATCGCTGACAGCTTCCATAAGTGCTGTAACACGCACATGAAGGAAATATTAGAAAACATGCTCTGCAATTTATCTTTCTTACGCTTGCAATATAATGCGCATATAATGTTTGTCGATTTACAATGAACATTAATAATCATATGCTTTACACACGTAAGATTATGATAAGATTAAATTACCTTTGACCGCGGATTTTGTGGGGCAATAAACCGTACCATGTGTAACGCCCTGATGTGCTAATAGTGATGAGGTCGCCACAACGTGACCGCGATTCTTTTCGATCATACTTGGTAGAAATGCTTGCAATGTCTAAAAGTGATTCTATTTTATTTGAGAACAATTTGTGGAAACTTATTACGAACATATATGTACGTGCGTGTGTATGTGTATGTGTAGTCTCTTAAATTTATTTCAATTGTAAATGTAGTAAATTAATTTTCAGCGCGCAACTTTTTTTTTAATAATATAAATTACATTGCCGATTATTTTATATACATATGTATATCTCGTAGCTGCTATGCATGTGTATCTCAAATATGTTACTCACCCAATAATGCGAAATTAAATTGACATCTATAACTCGTGTAATTTCATCGGCGGTTTGATTTAGGAGTCTTTTAGCAATCCCTATACCGGCATTGTTGACTAAAATAGTAACGTCGCCGACTTCTTTTCTCACTTTTTCAGCTATCTTAAAGACTTCTTTCCTGTCTGCTACGTTGCATCTATAAAAATATCAATCGAATTTTTAATCAGTTGACAATAGTTAGATATGTGTGATTAATTGTACGCGCGTAAACTATTCGAATCGCTTTTTATTCTATGAAACTAAGCAACATTGATTTACTGATATGCGTATGTATTGTTTTTCCCCATCATTTTAATCTCGTTCATCGTTTGCTTGTTGGTTTCTTCGTTGATATCCCAACATACCACTGTCGCTCTTAACGATGCATAACCAATCGCTAATTCCTTCCCATGCACGGACGTGAAAAAATTTTTTTCGGGGACACCGTTTGCATTGTCATAAAGTTCAAATCTTCCACTTCAATTTAAAAAATAAGTGAAGCCGCTACTTTTTTTTCGCAAAGTTACAGCTCTTCAAAATTACCATTGTTTTTGGCCTTTGGGCTAAGTACCGGCCGGCGTGTTTAATGACTGGTCAAAACACGAGCCAGGAGCTGAAAAACGTGCGCTCGCGCGCGCGCGTGGGTGTCCACAAACACTTTTGCCATAGCTCCACTATGGCTTCCGGTCATTAAACCCGTCGGCCGGTACTTGGCCCAAAGGCCAACGGTAATTTTAAAGGGCTGTAACTTTGCGAAAAAAAAAATTGTAGCGATTTCGCTTTTTTTTCAAATTGAAGTGAAAGATTTGAACTTTATGACGATGCAAACGGCGTCCCCGAAAAAAATTTTTTCACGTCCGTGCATTCCGTCAAACTTTGCAATTTTCAATATGCCAAACATGCCCTCAGATTTTAGGGATTACAGGGGTAGGGGTGCATCGCATGCAAAAAATGGAGATACATTCTTAAGGCAGAGACTCCAAACTTCATTTTGAACAAAAAAAATCATTCGTCTACGATAATTTTTCGCGAAGTGATCGGCAGTCAAAGTTGGCCAATTTTCGGCAAATATTTTCTATGCCATAATTTTTTTAAGCAGTGTATATCAGTACAGAAAAAAATACATTTCTTCTATATCTATGCATATGTTATGAATTCCATACGCACCAAAACAATTTCATTAGCTACGCTCTTTCTTGTTGTTGGAATAATCATCGTGAATATGCTCTCGCAAATGAAATAAAAAATTTTCAAGATAAGAAATAGTATTTCTGCCAGAAGGAGCATGCCATCGTATATTTTCATAATTATTTGAAAAAATAGTAATAATATTATTTTGAGAATTTGCTACGAATTTTCCCTTGATATTTTTTTGGCTGGTTTGGTAGCTACACATATTGTTTCCCAAGACAGTTAGTACAGCCTTATCAGAAAGCTTGATTGTCAAAAGACGATGTTGTTGGAAATAACTCAGTGTTTATTCTTGTTTGGCAATACTTTAATAATTGTAGTTCCGCGACAGTTCGCACGACAACAGAAAGGCGAGTTGTATTAGGCTTCGATTCGGCAATTGAGATTCACAAGACCGTACTGCAAGACCGTACTGCAAGACCGATTCTCAATACAATTCTTAATCTGAATAGACCGCCGGACTTGTCACAAGTGAAAATGAAGTCGAAAGAGAGCGAACGGCGAGATTATCATCAGGATAATTGAGAATTTTCATAACGAAAAGGAGATCGTGTCAAATTTTGATTCGCAGATGTCGATCACGTGATGTATCGAAATGAGATACATGAGTGGGGTCGACACATGTTACGCTAATTTTTCGTTCGCAGGGACTCCTCGCGCTCCAATATCGCTGA